GGGTGGGTGCTCTTCCAGCAGTGGCTATCCTGGCCCAACCTTGTTGGCCTGTGCAGAGCCCCATTTGCCTGTCTCAGGTTTTAGCTGTATTCTCCAGGCCTCCTGGCCAGCTCCTGACTGATGTCTTTACTCCAGTACACAGTGCAGCAGTAAATGCCCTCTCTTTCCACCCATCGGGAAACTACCTGGTCACGGCCTCTAGTGACTCAACCCTGAAGATCCTGGACCTGATGGAGGGCCGGCTGCTCTACACGCTCCATGGGCATCAGGTGAGGGGGGGATCAGCCTGGTGCTAAGCAGTGTGGAGTGGGGATGAGGCGCAGTCTTTCTTTTTCCGTACATGCTCGTGATCCATAATGAATACATTCATAATGGGGAGTTGGTATATACACATTGTCTTAGTCCCTTTTACATTGCTTTTCCCCTTCCTCCTTCCCCATTCCCTCCATCCCTAAATCTTCTTCTCATCTGCAAAATGTTTTACCTCTAATGGTCTTTTATTTTGCTCTTTAAATTATTTATATTTTGAGTTTCTCATTTATGGAAACCATACAATATTTAACCTTCTGTGTTCGATTTATTTTGCTTAGCATTATAGTCACGTGGTGCATCCATTTTCCTATAGATGACTTAAATTTACCCTTCTTTATGGCTGAGTAGTACTCTGTTGTGTATATACCACATTTTCTTTATTCATTCATCTGTTGATGGACGTATATGGGCTGTTTCCAAGATTTAGCGATTGTGAGTTGTGCTACTGTAAACATGGATTTGCATGTATCACTGTAATATGGTATCTTTAACTCTTTTGGCAGGATACCCAGATTTCTGGGTCAAATGTAATTTTCTATTTTTAGTTTTTTGAGGAATCTCTGTACTGATTTCCATGTTGGTTGTACTAGTTTATATTCCCACTGACATTGTAGAAGGGTTCCTTTATTCCCATGATCTGATCAGCATTTGTATTTTGAATTCATGATGATAACCATTCTTCTGGAGTAAGATGGGCTGTCAGTGTTGTTTTGATCAGCATTCCTTTTATGGTCAAATATTCTACACATTTTTTTTCAGATACTTTCTCGCCATTTGTACTTCTAAGTGTCTCTTACCTGACCATTTTTTTGATTGAGTCTTTTATTTGAGGGGGGTCTAACTTTTTTCAATTCTTTATATATTCTAGATATTAGTCCTTTGTCTGAGGAGAAGCTGGGGATTGAACTCAGGACCTTGTGCTCGGAAGGCAGGCTGCCTATCCATTTTTTGATGTGCTCTTCAGTCTCTTTTTTTCAGGATACTATAGTTTATGTTATAGAAATCTTATACTTTCTTGGTTGAGTTAATTCCTAAGTATTTAATTGTTAAGAAATAATTGTGAATGGGATTTCTTAATTTCTTTGTTGGTGGGTTCATTGTTGGTGTACAAGAATGCTAATGAGTTTTGTGTATTTATTTTGTATCTTGGTACTTTGTTGAATTTGTTTATTATTACTGGGAGTCTGTCAGTGGAATTTTTTTTTATTTATGTAGAGGATCGTGTCTTCTGTGAATAATGACAATTTGACTTATTTTCCTATACATTCCACCACCACCACTTTTTTTTTTGGTACCAGTGATCAAACTCAAGATCTTGCGCTTGCCAGCCAGGCACTGTGCTGCTGAGCTACATCCATGATCCTACATAGTTATTTCTTTCTCTTGCCAGATTTCTGTGGCTAAAGTTTCAAGGACTGTATTGAACAGGAGTGGTGAGTGGTCATACTTGTCTTGTTCTTGATTTTAGAAGAAAAGCTTTAATTTTTTCCACATGTGTTGGCAGTGAGTTTGTCATAAATGGCATTTATCAGTTTAAGATATGGTCATCTGCATTTCTTTTCATTAGGGTTTTTATCATAAGTGAGTGTTGGAGTTTGTTAGAGGCTTTTTCTGTGTCTATTGAGATGATTGTGTGAGTTATCCTTGCCTCTGTTTATGTGATGTATTGCATTCATTGATTTATATATGTTAAGTCCTTTTTGCATCCCTAGGAGTACTCCAACTTGGTGATGGTGTTTGATCTTTTTAATGATTTTTTGGATTTGGTTTACCAGTATCTTGGTGAGGCTTTTTGTATCTATGTTCAGTAAGATTGGCTTGTAGTTTCTGTTAAGTCCTTGTCCAGTTTTTTTTTAAAACTGCAAGGTAAAGATTTAATAATTTCATGCCTCTCAATCCACCTTTAATGTATATTTCTTATATCTCAGTAAATTAAAGATCAGTTACAAGATTCCAGTTAAGTGTTAACACTTTTATCTATTTAACTTCAGGATAGACACTGACTTGCTCTAGTAAGATATTTGGTGAATAATCATTATCACCCATTTTTCAGTTTTGTAACTTAGGAAATTGCTTCTTTAAACCCCTGAGACATAATTCAAAAATGTTCTTGAGACATAGGTCTCTGATCTTTAGGTCAACATTTATCTAAGCATGTCTGCAAACATTGAGTCACAGGGAGAAGAAGCATACTGAGCAAACCGTCCTCCACAGACAGCTGTGTTTCAGAGCCTGACACCCTTCTAATTCTGAAGGCACTGTTTCCAGGTAATTCTCAATAAACTCCAGATGAGTGAGGTTTGATAGCTCATCCACATGAGGGGACAGCTATTTTGGGGCCATTTCTCCCCAAAAGCAAACACTGCAGCTTCTTGCACTGAAACAGCCCATCTGGTAGTATCTCGATATTGTTGGTCAGAGCGAAGTACTGTGGATTACTCAGATACTGAATTTCTTCTGGAATGAAGGTCAGGTAGTTAGAGCTTAGATCCAAATAGTGTAACTTGGTGCATAGAAAAAGCTTCAAGGGTATATTCTCAGTATTATTATAATCCAAAAAGAGTTGTAGGTTAGATAATGCCCCAATCTGGGCAGGAATATAAGCAATGCTATTGTGCCACAACTTTAGGCAGGAAAGATTCTGAAGATGTTGAAAGCTAATGAACTCTTCCACAGTTTTCAGGTTATTTTCCTTTAGATCTAACTCATGCAAATTGTTCAGGCTGAAAATGGAGGGTAGAAGTCATTCCAGGTCACAGCTGATCAGTTCTAGGCTTTTCTGATTGACCATCTGTTTCAAGTTGTTTAACACAATCAGTTTGTTGCCCTCGTTATCAAGGGACAGTTTCTGCAATGAAGGTAAGAGGTCTGTAATGACTTGGGGGATCCTGGACAGGCTGCTGTTCAAGTAGAGGGTCCTCAGGTTTTTCAAGTCCAGCTGCGTGGTACTCAACTGCTTAGGGAGAACACAGCCTGACAGATAAAGTTCCTTGAGATTCTTTAGGTGAAATACCCAGCATGGGATTTTCCCCATTTCAGTGAATTTCAGACAGAGAATTTTTAAATTCTCCTCCAGGAAGGCCAGTGCAGGATGGTTTACCACTAAGGACAAATGGTACACCTGAAGCTCCCTGGGATTGATCAGCTGCGAGACTGCAGAGGGTAGCTTAACCTCAGGGCTAAGTTCCAGGTTTAACACCTCCATTTCCATTAACCCAAAGACACTGTCAGGAAGACCAGTGAGCATAAAGAGTGAGCATAAAGAGATGCAGCTCTATGTTGTCCTGGGAGTTTTTCACAATCTTTTCAGTTTCTCATTTGTCCATTCGTTGTTGAGATTGATCTGTTTCAGTTTGTTCTCGCTGACCTCTGACATGAGTATGGAGAAGCATTTGGAATAACTAGGATCATACTGATCAGCCAGATGAAGGATGAGGGCAAATCATTCTTTTTTCCACTGAGTTTATTGGTACTTTTTAGGTATACAGTACAGTTACATTCATCATTGGGATCTTGTACCTTTGTATGTCAGATCTTGGTTCTCATTTTTAACCCATATCCCTGCCCTCCCTTTACCCCCTCTACCCTCCCCTGTTTACAAAGACTTTGTTTCCATTTTTTCCTTTTCTCACATTTTTTTCTTTTCCCTTATTTCCTTTCCCCTACCTTTCCCACTTCCCCTACCCCTTTAGTCCTTTTCTTCCTATTTCACATTGTCAGTTATACAATTTGGATCTTATTTACACTTTTAGTTTATTACACCAGAGAAACTATTCGGTATTTACACATGTGTGTCTTATTTATTTCACTTAAGAGTATGGCCTCAATATGCATCCATTTTTCTATGAATGACTCTGGTTTCTCATTCTTTATGGCTGAGTAGTACTCCATTTTTCAGAAAAACCACATCTTCTTTATCCAGTCTCCAAGTTTTAGCTGTGACAAACTGTGCCGCTATAAACATGGGTGTGCATATATCACTGTGGTATGATGCTTTTAATTCTTTTGGAAAGATGCCCAGCAGAGGGATAGCTGGGTCAAATGGGGCCTCTAATCCTAGTTCTTTGAGATATCTCCATATTAATTTCCACAGTGGTTGCACCAGTCTGCAAGCCCACCAGCAGTGGAGAAGGGTTCCTTTCTCCCTACAACCCCGCAATAACATTAACAATTAACAATAGCATATGTTATTGGTTGATTTCTTGATAGCAGCCATTCTTTTTGGGTTGAGGCGGAATCTCAGTGTTGTTTTCATCTGCATCCATTGAATGACCAGTGATGTTGAACATTTTTTCATATATTTACTTGCTTTTACTTCTTTGTCTGAGAAATGTCTGTTCATTTCAGATGCCCATTTTTGAATCTGGTCTTTATATTTTTGGGGGGGTATCTGATTTTTTGAGTTCTTTATATATTCTAGATAATAGTCCTTTGTCTGAGAAGAAGGTGGTAAAATTTTTTTCCCAAATTGTAAGTTTTCTCTTAGTTCTGTTGGTGGTTTCTTTTGCAATGCAGAAGCTTTTTAATAAAATGAGATCCCAGTTGTTGTTTCTTTGTGCTAGTTCCCATGCTACTAAGGTTTTGTTCATAAAGTGTTTTCCTATGCCAGTGTCTTTGAGAGTTCTACCTAACTTATCTTCCAGCAAGTTTAGTGTTTCTGTTTTAATATTTAGATCTTTAATCCACTTGGATTTTAGTTTAGTGCATGGTGAAACATAAGGGTCTAGTTTTAATCTTTGGCAGGTTGAAATCCAGTTTTTCCAACACAATTCATGTCTTCCTCCACTGAGGATGGTTGGCTCCTTTGTCAAAGATGAAGTAGCTGAGTACATCTGGAGTTGTTTCTGTATCTTCCAATCTATTCCACTGATCCTCGGGTCTTTTTCTTTTCCAGTACCATGCTTTTTTATCACAGTAGCTTTGTAGTATAGTTTCAAGTTGGGGATTATGATAGCCC